CTGGATAACCGGATAGCTCAAACTGGTATGTGTACATACCTAGTGAAGGATCATCAGGATTTTTCCATGACGACAAGTACCGTTCCAGGCCAGTTCCGAAGTCTTTCCCAAGCTTCATGCCCGCAATGAATGTATCGCTTGGATAATCAAAACTTTGCCAAATGAAGTTCTCTGAACTTGTGTTGCCTGTTCCATCGGTAACAACGAGATTTCCCGAGTCCAAGAGCTGCACAACCGGACTACTGACGGGCCTCAAAGGCAAAACCAAAGCATTGGACGACCAAACACTGTTGCTTTTACCATCCACAAGGATAAGAATTCCCTGATTGGTAACATGTAGCACACCGGAACTGTCATTGAGAGGCGTTTCCCTATTTGCCACCCAGGGAACCGTCGCGTTCGAATTCATATACCATATTCCCAAGTACCTTTTGGTGCTGGAACCAGGACTAAAGAATCCGAGTTCAAAGATTCTATCTGCCGAAACTAAGGTATCACCATCTCTGATTGAACCGGTCGCATTAAAGCTTTCCACCGTAATCGATAGGGTAACATGAGGCCGCCACATCAGGGTGAAAAGTAGAAGCAAGATAAAGCTCGCCATCGATGAGATAAAAAAACTTTGAAGAAGTTTGAAGATCACATTCCTTATAATCACACTTCCCCATTAAAAAAAGAACTCCATAAATGTCAAACTTGAAACCTCAGCGCTCTAAGGAGCCTTTTTCTGACCGGTGCCACAAATACTCAGTAAGCAAGAACTATAATCTAAAATAATAATGAAGCGTCAGCGATTATTTTGTTTCCGAGAATCTGGACTACAAGTTCCCTTTGCAGTCAGGCTTAAATAATAGTAAAATCTTGTTGCTGCTACAAGGACAACTGTTAGCTTTGACAAAAATAAATAAATAAATAGTGGATTCAACCTGAGAATCAGTCAATGTTACTTCAAAATTATTATATATCATTATCAACCTTACCCTTATCTTGTAATGCCGGTCTTCTCCGAAATTTGAGCTTAACAGACTCTATTTTTTTTCGTGTAACGAAAATATCTTCTATCCCTGAAATTCATAAACTGGAAGTTTTAAAGAATAGTCTGTACTCTTTAGTTCCAGGGATTACGTGAAAATGTAGAAATGAATCCAGTACTTCTAGCATTTCCATACGTTGAAAGATTTTTTCAAAGATATCAACACTTTTTAACAGAGTCAAACTGAGCTTGAGGTTGTTGTTGAACTCGGCATTCGTTTTCTATTAGTTAACATGCTAATTCTACCAGCTTGAGAGTGTGAAAGGTTGAAACTCGGCATTTGTTTTTCACTTGTTTACTTTGACAATTCTAGTTCGGGTTAAAGTTGTATACTTTGAATGTTGGTGATTCGTATAATACCTGGCATATCTTAGCCCACCAAAGACCAACTGTAAATTGAAAGCTGTGATTAAAGAAACAAGAAAGGGGAAAAGAAAACTGATGATCACGCAATTTCATGGGACAAAAGAAACTTCCCTCGTTCTGGATTAACTCATGCTGACTATTTTTTAACGCATAATTAGAGGTAGCAATTGAGTCATTCGGTCGGATCATTTTCGAGTTGAGATTGTTTCGATTTAGATTCGAATTGGTTCCGGTTTAGTTCGGGTCGAATTAAAATTGAATCAATTGATTTTTGGATCGGTTTAATAACGGATCGGTTGGTTTTGAATCGGGTCAATACCAGATCAATTAGTTTCAGTTTAGGTCAACCATTAGATTTTCGGGTCAATTCAGATCGTTTTCAATTAGATTTTTAGGTCAACCTTTAAATTTTTAGGTCAATAGTTGTCGTTCTTTGTCATCATAACTTTTGGTGCGGTCTCTTATTTCTTATAATTCAAGAATTGAATGTGAATATATATTTCCACATCTCAAATTTAGAATTAGAAGTTTTAATTTTAATAAATCGAATCAATAAATCTTTAAAATAAAGAATTTTATGTGTCACAGTCGAAAAGCAGAGCTAAAAATTATTAATCATATAAGAAATGATCTTTTAACTGAGGAAATATTATATTAAACAATTAAACTATTATTAGAAGTTATGGTTAACTAGTAATATAATATAAAATAAGAATAAAGCATACACCATTTTATTATTTATCAATACTGAAAATAGATAATAAATAAATAAGTAATTCAGTCATTCACTTAGACTCAATTGTCAGGTTAAAATCGGGTCAAATTTCGGTTCGGATCTGATATGAGTAAACTAAATTCGGATTGCTTTCAATTCGAGCTATTTCAGTTCGGGTTGCTTTTGGTTTGGGTTAATTTTGGTTCGAGTTACTTTCGTTCCAACTAAAATTCGGATCGGTTTCAGCTTGATTCGAGTTATTTCCCATTTCGGATCAATTTTGAGTTATCTTGTTCTAATCTATATCAAGTCTCAAATTAAATAAATCAGTTCGAATAATCAGATACGAATCAAATTTACCAGTTTTACGTGTAATCTCTGTTTAGCTTGATATATTTTGTATTAAAGCAGAAAATATTGAGTTTTTCAATTAAAGAAAATATTTTGATATGCAATTTAAATAAAATTACATTTACACAATTATATTTATTGTGATGTTATTTGTCTTATTTTAAATCTTTACTTAGTCAAGGATAATATGTATATTCTATAGACACAATAGATCTAATTTAAAACTTCTCTAAATATCAATATTTCTTCTATCACTAAAATCGGTCCACAAATTTTAGGTTTAATATAGAAATAAGTGTTTGAATTATGTCTCGAAAAATATTTTAATGTCTAAAAGTTTTTCATTCAAAATTGGTATCTAACGTTTTCTAGGTTACATTTTTAAGTGCCCAACGTCAATTGCCGTTAAAAATCGCTGTTAAGTGACACATGTGACGTTCTAGTAATTTTGAGAATTTTTATTTAAAATAAAATATATATAATTTAAAAAAAAACATTTTTTTAAATCTTAAAAAATCTAAAACTTTTAAAATTTTCATTTTAATCCCTTTTCCACCGTCGGTTGCCACCAACACCGTCAATCGGTCGAATACCCAACGACGTGTGGCATACCAGCCACCCACAACCAAAACCCCTATTCTTTCACAATTGATCGAACGCCAAAAAATAGTGTAATTAAAATTTTTTGTTTTAGGGTTTCAAAATCATAAAAATCCCTTAAATTGATCATGGTAATCTATTGTTTGAACGTATGTGGTGGTCGATTGTTTACTGTTTGATCGGCCGTGACAGTCGATCTTTGACTGTGGCAGGGGAGGGTGAGAAGAAAACCGGGAGAGAGAAGGGGGAACGCACTGTGCTGTTTTATTATTATTATTATAAAATATTTTTTAAACAATTCAAAAATATCATAACGTGACACGTGTCACTTAATGAGAATTTTAACGGCAGTTAACGTCTGGACACTTAAAATGGTAATGAAAAAAATATTAGACGCATATTTTTAACAAAAAAAATTAAGTACTAAAACTTTTTTCGAGGTATATTTAAACACTTATTTTTATATTAAGCCTAAGTATAATGTCTTAGCGTGTATTGAGAGGATGTGTTATGTTATTTTAAGGGTTTTTATATTCAATTACTTTCATTACCTACAACTACATTCTTTTACTTTTAATCACGGAAAAATATAAACTTATTTTTATTTATAATAATAAAAAAATTAATACACATATTCTAATATACACTTAAATAAAATAGTTATTGAATTAAAATAAAATAATTTCTAGTTATTTGAATTGACGAGTCTTATTTTACGACTCGGAGTTGACTTAAATAAATTTCCAGTCGAATCGAGTTTATAAAATTCGAGTTGAGTCAAGTCGAATTTTCGAGTTTCTGTTTAAATTTAATTATAAATATTTATAATATTATGATATTATTCAATTACAATTTAAATGGGTTTTTATGATCATATACAATACATATATATAACAATCCATTCTTGTGCACTTTTTTTTTTATAAAAAAATATAATACATAAATATTTCTTTCACATGTGATATACATATATTATATAAAATTGATGAACATTATTCAAACTTGAAAATTCATCCACTAATTACTAAAACTTTTGAATTATTCGAGTTGTATTTTACAACTCGATTTGAACTTGAAATTTTTTCAAGTTGAGTCGAGTTTATGAAATTACAACTTGAAGTCATTTGAAGTCGATTTTTTTAATCAAGCCGAGTAGAAAAAAAATCAATTTTTAGAGTCGAATCGAGTTTTGCTCATTCTAATAACTATATATGTTTTTAATTTTGTATATATTTAAGAATATTCCAAATTAATGAAATTAAGTAAAAAATTATTTGTTTCAAAATTTGTATTCAAAAAGTAGGTTGAAAATAATATAATATTTAATTGATAAAACACATTATATTAATGATAAAAAAACATATCCAATTTAAAAGTACTTAAAAAAAATAAAAATACTTATGTAGAATACACAAATAGTTCTCAGATTATAGATAATATTTTATTAAGTCTCTTAACTATAGGGTCCTTCAACTATAAAGTGTTATTTTATTGAGTCCCTCTACTATTAAAAGTTACATAAAATGGACACACGATTATTCATTATGTTCCAAACTTGTCATTTTTTATTAAAAAAATTGGCGATATTCTAAGTTGAACGTTAACTTGTTGACTATGATATTTTTTAACAATGACATGATATTATCTTACGATGACACATCAACATAAGAGGTGATTTTTTAACAATGAGTGATCGAAGCGAAACTAAAACGTAACATTAGATATGATTTTGAAAAAAAAATAGTTGAATGATCAAAACAGAATTGTTAGAATAGATTGGGGACTAAATATATAGTTTACCCTAAGTTCTTTCTTCATCACGAAGAAAAATATTTAAGAAAGCTCTCTATTGTTTCGCTGAAATTTACAATCCTATCCCTATCCTACCTTCCAATAAGAAACCTTGCAGACTTTCACATCCATATTACCTGTATCTTAGTTGTCCTTCAATGGCCTCTCTTTCTCGGAAATCTCAACTTATCTCCTTCAACCCCTTTCTATATATTCCATTCCAGACATTCCACTCAATCAAACATTTTCCAGATTCTACTTTCTTCCTTCTTGTTTCATTTTTTTGTATTACCATCAACCATGTCTGCGATTCCTCCACCAGCTTCACAAAACTCATCGTCATCAGCTTCGGGTTTCCATGATTTCTTGCCCGTGATGGCCAAGAAGCTCGGAGGGGAAGGTCTGATCGGGGAGCTGTGCAATGGGTTCAGCCTGTTGATGGACGGTGAGAAAGGGGTCATCACTTTCGATAGCCTGAAGAAGAACTCGGCACTCTTGGGGTTACAAGACTTGACCGATGATGATCTGAGGTCCATGATGAAAGAAGGTGATTTCGATGGCGATGGTGCGCTTAACCAGATGGAGTTTTGTGTTTTGATGTTCAGGTTGAGCCCTGAGTTGATGGAAGCTTCTCGGTTTTTGTTGGAGGAAGCTTTTGAGCTTGAATTCGAGGGTTTTCATTGATACTTTTTGTTTCTTTGTTTAATCCTGAATTTGTCTTCTCAATGAAATTGTTGAATATACAGAGAATTTATTTATTTCTCATTTGTTCATTCACTTAAGTAGCTTAATAGTTGATTGATAAAGAGAAAGATATAATGCTAATTTAAAAATCAAGCAACAAATTAATGGTCAAACAATTTCTTGGCTTTGAGAAAGAGAGAGAGAGAGACAACAATGGAAGAGAGAGACAAAGTTTTATTAACTAATAACCATCGACCTTCCCTTGCCGATGTTCATTTATTCAAGCCAAAAGTCTTGCTCTTGCATTTACAGGCAATGCATGTACCTTAGAATGTTCAATCTAATGCTGAATTTAGCAAGCCTATCAGACTAGACATCCATGGAAATGGGTTTCTGTTTTTGCATTGCTTGTTGTTTCCTCATCTTCTTCTCAAAAGCCTTGGTTGCAACAATTGACACCATTTCTCCATCAGAGTTATTCACCGATGGCATGACCTTAGTCTCCTATGAAGGAACCTTTGCAAGGGTACACATGGAACCCAGAAACTAAAACCTGGCAGCTGTTTTTAAGCTCGCCAATTGACCTTTGTGGCAGATATGGACATTGTGGTCCAAATGGGAACTGTGATAGCAATAAGCTTCCGGATTGTTGTCAATGCTTGACAGGGTTCAGGCCAAAATGGCCCGAAAGATGGAACTCAGCCGATTATACCGGAGGGTGTATACACAGTAAGCAATTGAACTGCCAGAGTGAGGATGACTTTATAAGAACTCCAGACGCCACAAATTCTTGGGTTAATAAAACTATGAATCTCAAGGAATGCAGGGCCAAGTGCTTGAGGATCTGTTCTTGCATGGCCTACACTAATTTATATGTTACAAGAGGAGCTAACTGGCTGTGTGGTCTGGTTCAGTGATCTAATTGATATCAAACAATTTCAATCAGATGGTCAGGATGATCATGATCTTTACATAAGAGTCTCCCTTTCAGAAATAGGTACTGGTTCACAAAGCTAGAACATGTTCTTATTACATCTTGTGGTAACATTTCTTTTTGGGTTTTTGTGTAATAAATAAGTGATATTTGTGCATCTTGACTTAATGGCAGAACTGAAGAAAAAGGCTAAGGTAAAGCTTGCCATCATACTTGCAACTGTAATTGCTTCCATTTCGGGTTTCTTTTAGTCGTTTGTTACATTCGAAGAAACAGGGGAAAGTTAAAAGGTAACACTAATTATGTCTGCCATGGTCCATAAACGTCTCTTTGTTTTCACTTATGCTTCTTCATTGATTAAATAAGATGCAGGACTAACATGAATAGGTAATTTGTAGATCAAACGAGACGAGAATTTTTAACCTAGTCCAAGATTCTTCGAATCATCAGCGGGATTGCTAGAGGACTACTCTACCTTCAGCAAGACTCGAGGTTGAGGATTATTTTTAGAGATTTAAAAGCTAGTAATGTTCTACTTGACAGCTGAGTGAGATGAATCCGAAAATTTCGGATTTTGGCATGGCAAGAACTTTGGAGATCAAACAGAAGCCAATACAAATAGAGTCGTTGGAACTTAGTGAGTGTACTTTCTCCCTTTTCCACATTATTTGATCCATAAATCCCAATTAAAAAAACTTCATTTTCATTATCTGGCAATGTTCTGCAGTGTTATATGGGACCAGAATATGCTAGCGACGGTCTGTGTTCGGTAAAATCGGATGTTTTAGCTATGGGATTTTATTGTTGGAGGTTATAAGTGGAAGAAAGAATGGAGGGTTTATCATGCGAATCAAAGGGAGAACCTCGTTGAACATGTAACGTCAGCAGATACTATTATTGTTAATGTTTTCTCACAAATTACAAATTCTTAACAGGTTCGAATTTTGCTGCAGGCATGGAGTCGGAGATTATGGTCCGAAGGGAAGCCTTCGGATGTTGCTGATGATTTCTTAGTAGAGAATGGTGATCCACCCCAGCTGTTACGTTACATTCACATTAGCCTTTTATATGTACTGCATCATCCCGAGGAGAGGCCGAGCGTGTCATCTGCGGTTCCTATGTTGGGAAGTCCCAATGAATTGCCTTCCCCTAACCACCTGGTTTCTTGTTTTGCAAGAAACCCTTTGAAGCAGATTCTTCACCCGGCAACGCGGGAACGTCTTCGAGAAATGAAATAAGTTTATCATTATTAGAAGCTCTGTAAATTATTAACAATCATAAAATTATACCTTGTAGCTTATGTTATACAACCTGTAAATTATATTTTTGATACAATCAGCAAAAGTTTGACAGAAACGTCTGATGAAAAGGACATGACCTCTTGGTAACGATGTTCACTTAATTAATCATTATTGATATGAAAATTTCTACCATATGTCGTTTTTTTCTCCCTTTTTTTAGAGATGCGTAGGGAAGTGGAAATGCATGTTAATTACACTATGAATGGTTCTTGGTCATTAAGCATCTTCAAAGTCAGTGAATATAAATTCAGATAAGTATCTTCAAAATTTTTACTTGTGATGATGGGCTAAGGTTTCATCATAATCCCAAACTTAACAAGGAATATATGTTTTTTTATTAATTCTAAGATGGGAGAGGAGTATTTATCTCGAAATCTGATTTTTTTTGTTATTATTTATTTTATCAAATGCGTATCCTAAAATTTTATTTATATCTATCTACGTACAAAAAATAATATTGTTAATATATGTATTTACCCTTAAAAATATTTTTAAATTCGTCACCGAACCGAATTTACTCCCAATGACTTGAAAACTAAAGCTTTCCTTGTTTGAGTCAAAGCAATGCATTGGAGGATTAGTTGCGTGAATTTGCACCTAACCCCATAACATAGTAAATTTCCAAAGTAAATTGCCACCTAATACCATTTATCCTTTAAATATAGGGTAAATTATACGATGGTTCATGACTACATAACGTTATTTTGTTGAATCTCTCGATTATTGAAATTAATAAACGGTCTTCGATTATAAGACGTTATTTTATTGAATCTTTAAATCATAAAATAATCTTCAAATCATAAAATAATCATCAGACTATTCATATGATCCAAACCCTACTATTAAAGCACCGGCTCGATAATATTGTTCACTTTACGCTTAAATATATCGGCTTTAAGCAAACCCCATATGCGTAGCTTTCACACGACATTTCCGGCGCATGATATGGATGAATTCACACCCAAGGAGAATAGGATCCATGATAAAAGCATTTTAAAATGGGGGTTATAATCGCCGGCAATCGGCATCACATCTTTCAATCTATTGACCAACACTTACGAACAGGTCATGTGGACGTCATTGCACATGCTAATGGGCAGTTGGGGAAATGCTATTGATCAACTAATGGGTTTTATATGCTATTAAAAAACAGAAATTTAATACTGGCATTTGAACAGGACCGGATCTTTATCTGACCCTTGAGACAATATAAAGCTTGTTGTTTTATTTTACTCTTTTCTGATCAAATCAGCAAAAGTTTATCTAAAAGTATGTTAAAAGGCTTTTTCTTTTTGTTCTGATGAAAGACTTGACTATGGGGTAACCCATCTTCAAGGGCAGTTGAATATAAAATACTTGTGGTCTCTGTCTTTATAGTCAATGCTTCAATTTCAAATGTTCCATAAAATGGAATGTGTAATCAATTTTCCGATAAATGAGCAATCAGACAAGACATCCATGGAAGTGGGTTTCTATTTCTACAGTGCCTGTTGTTTACTCATCATCTTCCCGAAAGCTTTAATGGCAATCGACACCATTTCTCCATCGGAGTCACTCACTGATGGGATGACCTTAGTCTCCAATGAAGGAAACTTTGTGTTAGGCTTCTTCTCTCCAGGCACTTCCACGAACCGCTACCTGGGAATCTGGTTCAACAGCATCCCCATGCAAACTGTTGTTTGGGTTGCAAACAGGATGAGCCCAATAAACGATTCCACTGGCTCGTTGAAGATAGAAACTAGTGGCAGAATTGTGGTTCAAGTTCAGAACACAACAGCTGTTTGGTCGACTAATGCGTCAGCAAGTGCTCAGAATCCAGTATTGCAGCTCCTGGATACTGGTAATCTTGTTGTCAGAGATGGGAACGATAATAATCCGGAGAACTACTTATGGCAAAGCTTTGATTATCCAGCAGATACAATGTTACCAGGGATGAAAATTGGTTTCGACTTGAGAACTGGCTTGGATCGAAGACTCACAGCCTGGAAGAACTGGGATGATCCATCTCCAGGTGATCTTAGTTATGGTGTTGAACTTGAAGGAAGCCCAGAAATGGTGCTGAGGAAAGGCTTAGATAAGATCTCTCTCAGTGGGTTATGGGTTGGCACTGGATTTAGTGGAGCACCAACTTATAGGGCGAATCCGATCTTCGATTATAACTTTGTCTGGAACGAAAATGAGATTTACTACACATATTTCCTCAAAGACCAATCAGCAAAGTTGATGAATGCTTTGAACCAAACCGAAAGTGAGTCACAAATTACACATGGAACCCAGAAACTCAATCCTGGCAGCTGTTACTAGCCCTGCCAATCGACTATTGTGACAGATATGGACTTTGTGGTCCGAATGCGAACTGCGATAGCAGTAAGCTTCCGGCATGTCAATGTTTTAAAGGGTTCAGGCCGAAATCGCCTGAGAGATGGAGCTCATCGGATTTTTCTGGAGGGTGTGTACACAGCAAGCCATTGAACTGCCAGAGTGGGGATGGTTTTATCAGAGCTGATAATGTGAAAACCCCAGATACCACAAATTCTTGGGTTAATAGAACTATGAATCTCTGGGAATGTAGAGACAGGTGCTTGAGGAACTGTTCTTGCATGGATACTCTAATTTAGACATTACAAGAGGAGGTAGCGGCTGCGTCATGTGGATCGGCGATCTGCTTAATATCAAACAATTGCAATCAGAGGGTCAGGATCTTTATGTCAGAGTGTCTGCTTCAGATGCAGGTACTGGTTTACGAAGCTAAGAACATGTTCTTAACTTCTTATTTCATCTTGGGGTAATGTTTTTTTGGTTTTGTGTAACAATAAATATTATTATTTATGCTTCTTGACCAATACTTCAATGGCAGAACTGCAGAAAAAAACTAAGGTGAACCTTGCCATCATACTTCCAACTGTAATTGGTGCCTTTTTGGGGTTTCTGTTAGTTGTTTTTACATTCGCAGATGCAGGAGAAAGTTGAAAGGTAACACTAATTTGGTTTCATAAATGTAATTATTTATGTTCCATACTCTATGTTTATACTCTTTTCATATGAACTTGAAGGCGAGAATGTAAATGATAAAGAGAACAAAGACGAAAATGGAGATATGGAGGTTGCAGTATTCGAGTTTGGTACAATTGCTCGAGCTACAGATAATTTTTCAGTTGATAACAAGTTAGGTGAAGGAGGTTTTGGACCTGTTTACAAGGTAAAAGCTACTGTGTTTTAGTAGAGTGATCTCTAAGTAATAATTTTATTGAAAGCTCATAAAAATGTTGTACAATTTTCCAGGGGACACTACTAAATGGACAAGAAATTGCAGTGAAGAGACTTTCAAAGAGTTCTGGGCAAGGACTGACCGAGTTCAAGAACGAAGTAAAGTTGATTGCCAAACTTCAGCATCGGAATCTTGTGAGGCTTCTTGGTTGCTGCATTCAAGGAGATGAGAGAATGCTGGTTTACGAATACATGCCTAACAGAAGCCTTGACGCTTTCATTTTTGGTCTGCAAATCATTAGAAAACCTCTCAACATTATCACTTTTGCTTCCTCAATGATCAAATAAGATGTAGGACTAACACGAATGTGTACTTTCCAGATCAAACGAATCGCAAAGTATTACCCTGGCACAAGCGTTTTCAAATTATCTGCGGGATTGCTAGGGGACTACTCTACCTTCATCAAGACTCAAGATTAAGGATTATTCATAGAGATTTAAAAGCTAGTAATGTTCTACTTGACAGTGAGATGAACCCAAAAATTTCAGATTTTGGCATGGCAAGAGCTTTCGGAGGAGACCAAACGGAAGCCAATACAAATAGAGTAGTTGGAACTTAGTAAGTGTACTTTAATGCCTTTTCCATACAATTTGATCCACAAATCCTAACAAAAAGGTTCATTTTCTTTATCTGAAAATGATCTGCAGTGGTTATATGGCACCAGAATATGCTACTGATGGGCTGTTTTCGGTTAAGTCAGATGTTTTTAGCTTTGGGATTTTAATGTTGGAGGTTGTAAGTGGAAGAAGGAACAGAGGGTTTTATCATGCAAATCAAAGAGGAAACCTTATTGAACATGTAAACATCAATTGATACTATTATCATTATGTTCCTTTACTTTAACTACGAAATGCTTGAAGGTTTAAATTTTGCTGCAGGCATGGATACTATGGAAAGAAGGCAAGCCTTCGGATGTCGCTGATGATTTCTTAGTCGACACCGGTGATCTATCCGAGCTGTTACGATGCATACACATTAGCCTTTTGTGTGTACAGCAGCATCCAGATGAGAGACCGAGCATGTCATCCGTTGTTCATATGTTGGGAAGCCATCATGAATTGCCTTCGCCTAAACAACCTGGTTTCTTGTTCTACAAGAAACCATTTGAATCAGATTCTTCGACCGACATAGGTGGATCGACCTCAAGAAATGAAATAAGTGTAACATTAATAGAGGCTCGCTGAAAAAGAAGACTCCATTGTTCATTCAATATGTTATGCTCCAAATTATGATTAACTGTTTGCAATTTCTTAAAAATTCAGAAGACATACCTTGTAGTTTAAGTCATACAGCTTATAAATTATATTTTTTGGTACAATCAGCAGAAGCTTGATAGAACTATTCGATTTTTAAGGTCAGTATAACTTTCTAAATTTATAAAAATATGTAACCTAATCAGCCTATAAACAGAATTTTTTTATACAATCAGCCTATAAAAAGATTATGATATCATTTTAATATCGAACCGTCATTGTTTATTAAGAAAATCTCTTACCTAATCATTGCATACATATGATATGATTTTCAATTTTCTTTATTTTTTAGTTAAAAAATCCAAACTTTTAAATTTCTTAAAAAACCCTCATCCCTTCCCTCCTTTGTACTTGCTGATCCAACATGTGTGCTGGCAGGTTATGGTGATTCAGCCATAGCTGAAGCTTATGCACTGATTGTTGGTATTCACCTTTCGATTGGTCTTCATTGTTCAACGGCTATTACGGAGAGTGATGAGTCTAATTTTGTAGGCGGCTACTGGGCCGTCCATTCAAAAGATTATCTGCTATTCAAAGAAAAGACAAATGACAGGGATGCAGGTTGTGGAAATTTAATACTAGCATTTAAACAAGACTTCCTTTTTGTTCGAAGTCTCATGAAAGACTTGACTTTTGCATAACCCATCTTCAAAGGCAGTTATATAAAATACTTGTAGTCTCTGTCTTTATATTCAATGATTGAATTTCAAATGTTCAATAAAATGGAATGTGTAATTAGTTCTGCTAGCAATGAGCAATCAGACTAGACATCCATGGAAATGGGTTTCTATTTCTACAGTGCTGCTAGTTTCCTCATCGTCTTCTCAAAAGCTTCAACCGCAATCGACACCATTTCTCCATCAGAGTCACTCACTGATTCCATGACCTTAGTCTCCGGTGAAGGAAACTTCGTGTTAGGTTTCTTCTCTCCAGCACTTCCAGAACCGCTACTTGGAATCTGGTTTAACAACATCCCCATGAAAACTGTTGTTTGGGTTGCAAACAAGATGAACCCAATACGACAGCAAGTGTTCAGAATCCAGTACTGCAGCTCCTGGATACTGGTAATCTTGTTGTCAGAGATGGAAACGATAGTAACCCGGAGAACTACTTATGGCAAAGCTTTGATTATCCAGCAGATTCAATGTTACCGGGGATGAAAATTGGTGTTGACTTGGGAACTGGCTTGGATCGAAGACTCACAGCCTGGAAGAACTGGGATAATCTATCTCCAGGTGATCTTACTTATGCTGTAGAACTTGAAGCCCATAATTGGTGCTAAGGAAAGGCTTAGAAAAGTACACCCTGAGTGGGTTATTTTCAAGCTTCGTAATTATCAAATAATAATATTTTTTATCGAATAATTATGATAATAAAGTAATATAGGGAAGAAGAGTGTTAGTCTATAGGATTCGAAAATTTCTAATTCTAATTCGATGTGATCTTAAATCAAAAAACCTGTAAAACAAGTAAATTAAAAAGAAAGAGGATTTTAAAGTAAACAAGTAAAATAAAATTAATAAGATAAAACAATAAGGAAAATTGAGAAAAGTAAATTGTAAACGAATAATAAAGATGAGAAATAGCCTTCAGCTTCGCGTCGTCTCAATCTGTCTCGATCACTGAAATAGATTTTACTTCGGATACTTACCGATTATAGTCTACAAGGCCCAACCGTTGTAACTTGCTCTTCTCTCTTGTGAAATGATTTCCAAAGCTAATTCTTAAAAATTAGCCCTTGTTTGGATTAATATCGACTATCTATATTAATGCCAATGCTGGTTTTGAACTGGAAAAACCCGTGCTCGGATTATAGTGTCTCGAAGAGAATCAAACCCGATCTTGATTTCCCTTAGCGGACTGCTACTAAGATTGTTCTTAGGGAATTAAATTTGCTACAAGCCGATTCTCCTCCCCAACTATAGATCACAACGTCGAACAGACCAATGTGCTCTATACACTCCTTGGATTGAAGATATTAAGATGTTGAAGAAAGGTCGATTGTCTCTCATTGTTTGCAGAAAAATCAAGAAAGAAATATGAAGATGATAAATAACTTTTCGAATCTCGTGAGAATGGATTGAGTTGTCGCTCAGCTATCAACTAACGAAAAGTTTAGTCAAGCATGGTAGAAATCATGCTTAGCGTGTAGAAAGAGAGTAGATGGAGAAGAAAATTAATTTTATTGAAATAAATTGAAACAAAGAAAAAGGCAGAACCAATTTTATATTGAATTCTAAACTTGTACCCCATCAAGCTTCACCCCTAGGGGTATTTATAGTATTGAGTTAACCTAATGAAAATAAAATAATAAGTCTTAAAATATTCAAGCACTTAATTCTAACAAACTAAAAATCCTAATTACTAAATATTAAAAATCCTAAATAAAAATTCTATGCAAACTAAATTCCTAATAAAATAATAAAATTTCAAATGTTTGAATTCAATTACAACTTTTAAATTTCTAAAGAATTATGGGTTGCCTTGTTTTCCTCCTTTGATCTTGCTACTTGGAATGTTTAATTAGATTTTGTGCTTGGATCGACCTTTGAATTTGAGTTGGCGCCGACTTTTCCCAAATAAGTAGGAAAATCTGTTTAATTTTTCTTTTAATTGTTATTTCCTGAAAATAGAGTTCTGCACAAATTCGAATCAAAACAACCCAAATTATCATTATAAAAGAGATACCACGGTTTAATTAATAACAAAATATTAACCAAATAAAACACTCATCAAATTCCCCCTCACTTATTCAATGCTTGTCCTCAAGCATGCCTTAATCAATTGAAAAAATCTCAAATCATCAATAGTGAAGGTTCTGCTTCCCACTCACCCAATCCTGTTCATAATGGTTCTAATGAGGTCGTAGTCAGCACATCGGTGCCTGTTCAAGAGTAGCATGTCGATGGTGAGAATGCTGGAAATAGACACCCAATTCTTACAGTAGCAATTGTGGTGTCTTTAAGTCCAAGGTGTACACGAGTTTCTTTGATGATACAATACCAACCAGTGTTCGAGCTGCAGTACAATCCCTTAGTTGGAAGGTAGCTATTCATGCAGAACTTGATGCATTGCAAGAAAACAAGACTTGGTCTCTTGTTCCCTTGCCCAAAGGGCGCGATATTGTTGGATGCAAGTGACTTCAAAATAAAGAAGAATCCAGATGGGCATGTTCAAAGATATAAAGAAACGGATGGTTGCCAAAGGGTACTCACAGGTTCCTCGATATGATTTTAAAGATTCATTCAGTCCAGTTGTAAAATTTAACACGTTGAATGTTGTTCTTTCACTTGTCGTTACTAAAAATTAGTCCTTGCGTCAAGTTGATGTGAACAACGCGTTCTTGAATTGAGAGTTGTCTGAAGAAGTGTCCATGCAACAACCTCCAGGGTTTGAAGAATTTGCTGCTGATGGATCACCTCTAGTGTGTAAGCTACACAAATCCCTATATGGGCTTCGCCAGGCACCCAGAAATTGGCTTGATAAGCTTAAGGTTAGTCTTGAGCGAATGTGATTTGTTAAGTCATTAGTAGATGTGTCACTCTTTGCGAAGTGTGTGAATAACTGTTATAAATTTGTGTTGGTCTATGTGGACGACATAATCATTACTGTGAGTATAAGGATGTTATTGAGAGAGTGATTCAACTCTTGCAAGGAGATTTTTCACTTAAGGACTTAGGTGAACTGAATTTTTTCCTTGGTATTGAGGTTAAAAGAAGCAGTGGCAAGCTGGTTCTCTCACAAAGGAAATATGTTCTTAAGTTACTAGAAAGAGAAAAATATGTTAAATGCTAATCCAGTTGTTACTCCAATGATAGGGTCATCGTAACTGGTTCATGAAGCAGGGCCATTACTGTCTGATGCTCGTGAGTATAAAAGTCTAGTTGGTGCACTTCTGTATGTATGCCACACTCGACCTGACATAGCATTCAGTGTGAATAAGGTTGCTCAACACATGCATGCACCTTGTGAGTCTCATATGGCAACAGTTAAGCGTATACTTCGATATTTGGCTGGTACATTGGACTATGGTCTCACGTTCTTGGCTGATGAAGCATGACTGAAGGTTGTGGCCTTTGCTGATGCAGATTGGGGAGGTGACGCAGATGATCGCAGGTCAATTTCTGGTTATATAGTGTTTCTTGGAAAGTGTCCAGTGGTCTGGAAGCAGAATATCGTAATGTTACAGATGCAACAGCAGAAGTAACCTGGATTAATGCATTGCTAGTTAGTCTGGGTGTGAATCAGCGTGAAGAGACAGTTATCTGGTGTGATAATACGAGTGCAATTGCTATGAGCATGAATCCGATTTATCATGCACAATCTAAGCACGTGGACATGGATGTTCATTTTATTAGAGAAAAGGTTGTTGCCAAAGTGTTACGCGTTAGCTACGCTACGTTCCAGTCAGCTATCAGGTGGCAGATGGTCTCACAAAGTCACTGACTAAAGTTGCATTTGAAGTTTTCAGAATCAAGGTGTGTGTCTTGCTTTGTTAACGCAGGAGGAGAAAGTAGAGGGAATATGGTTGGTTAAGGGGTTGAAGTTGTTAGCAGTGTAGTTAGAGTTAGTTGAGCTGTTAGGCTTGCTGTAAAACTACTATAAAACAATGTAATTGGTGGACTGGAATTAATAAGCAAGATTCAATATTCTTTCATTTCTAAAGCTTAACCTAGCTTTCTAATAGTTTGAAATGAAATGATCCAAACTGATTTACCCAACCCTTAATATCCAAAAACAACGACCACCAATCCAAAGGGTGGTGGAACGACTCATTAAAACCAATGTATACAACTAAAGCGTCTGATTCTACTATCCTCTGCGTCAAACGCTCCCAACTTGCTTCGATCAACATAATCTGCAGTTGAAACATGAACATGACCTGAAAAGTTTGCTCTTATTTCACCTGTCTCTGAGCAAAGAACACTTCC